CCTGATGTGCAGAGCGAAGACGGATCAGGCACTTCTGCCTAATCCCTGAAATGGAGAAGAAGAAGAAGATGTTCAACATTTACTTATGCACAAACATTTAGCCTGAACCTAAGTTCATTTACAAAAAATGTCATTCCAGTAAAAACCATAGCATAGTGCTGTCTTAGACCTTGTAGGCAGGAGGGGATTGGAGGGGCAGGGGGAAGAGTTGCAGCTAGAAATCTGACAATACTCTATTCTGTTCATTTGCTGCACTGTTATTGTTGTTTTAGAGTACGTACAGAGGTTGACGATCATGCATTTGTTGCAACTTGCCTTGAAGTAATGTATTATAAAGATAATATTTTGCACATACCACTGATAATATATTACTAAAAAAATCTCAAAAATCCAGTGAACATACTCCTCAATAAATCTTTCGATTTGAGGTATTTTATTTTATCTACCAGTTGTCATAAGGAGTTCAAAGTGCTGTCATTCACCTTGAGATCAAAACACATAGGTACTAAATTGACATTACGTTAAACATTAATTTACTAGAATCAAATAATACTTGTAATTACTAGAATGGTGAACTGAAGAACAGCTTTTTGTCACTTTCATACACATTTGAAGGGTAAAATATCTTCAATATTAATTTTTATGAAAAAAGTCATGCTTAACCAGGTCAAAATGCAAAAACAGCCTTTTCCCCCATTCTGCTAAGCTTTTCCTTCTTTTGACAATATGACAGTTTATACAACTCCACTGCACTGCACTCAGCCTCTCACTCACACTGATCAATCACCGCATCTTAGTGGCATCACCTTGACGTAATTGACAGTAGTTTTGGGACCCCCATGTTATTTTGAGCTGTTATATTGGTAAATAAAACATACCTCCTTTGGATATGCTGTAGGACTTAAGCAGGCATGAACAGAAGATGCCCGACTCCTTTTTTGTCGTCTCAAAGTAATAAAATCCCATGGGTCAGCTTGGATTAACAAACCATGCCAACCCAAAGCAGACTCAAGCCACTCTGTATTTGACAATTTGCCATGTCCATATGCACCAGCCTCCACAAATGTACCATTCACCTAAACCACAAGAAAAACGCTGATTTGCTATCATTAACAATTTATCTAAAATTTGTTTACTTCTATTAACCAAAGATGAAACTATAATAATGTGTCTCAACTTAGGTGAAATGGACATTTTCTATGGTCCCCAAAATTGAAACCTTAAAGGAAAATGTTACCAATTGTAACAAAGTAAAAGTACAATTCTCATACTAGTTTTAATGTAAAAACGGTTTGATTGTAATCAACAGAGATAATAAAATCTAATTTAATTAATATGCTGACATTTTCACCATTAAATCAAAATGAGACATCTACTTAGGAAATTCATTTGATTCCATAAACATCCATTGAGCTTGCCATGGTAGTGAAGTAGAAAACAATGAAGGACTAATTTAGTCAAAACCAATTATTGCTAATTCTGTTTCCTTTTGTTGATATTC